TGTATTATAAGTTACAGACATGTGTGTCATCAGGTTGTGCAAAATTCTGTTTAAAGTATTTCTAATGCCTATTGCATTGTCCATGTAGAAAACTATAGATGCCATTATGAGCTTATTGCATCTATTCCATGAATTATATAAAAAATCAATTATGTTTGGTTTAACAATTGTCCCATTAATGAAACCGGTCTTATTCTTTATAGACAAAGCCAACAAAAGTGATCTACTACAAGCTATGCAGTTGATAGATGTAAGTTTAGGATTCACCATAACAAATCTACGATTATCACTATGATGCACATAATAAGGTGATTGTGAATCTTTTAAATGTGAATTCTTAGATCTAGGGTTTTAAGTTTACATTTTCTATGTTTTATGTATTTTCAGCCATGAATACTAATTCCACACAGATTGAAGAGCAAACAAGAATCAAGTACTAATAGATTAAGATTCAAACACAATTGAAAAAATTTCAAAGAAAATCTTCTCAAAAAGAAAACCAGAAATATAGAGTCAAGAACACGATTTATTGATAAGTGAAAGAAAGAAAAATCTAAAATTATTCAACAGATTGAATGGCATGAATCAAATGCAAAGGTTCAACTTATCTGAAGAAAAATTGCATCGTGAAATCCCTATCTCATATCAATACTCTGATACCATGTGAGAATCACGGAAGCTATAAGAAGAAGTTTTGGGGAAAGAAGAAATTTTCTTTCATTCCTCAAAAAGAAATTAGTTACAAAGTGTGATATTTATACAAGAAAATAAGCCTTGAAAAATAGTTATAAAAAAGAGAGAAAATATCTAACTAACTACCTAAGAAAACAATAAAGGTGAATACCGTGCATTTTACACTCTTAAATAAAAGCATTCCTCCTTCAAGCAACATGTGATCTCCACATGCTATCCTGTTGTCTTACTATCTTCATTTTCACTGATACAGCAACCAAAGGCTTCTAATTTCAGGTTTATCTTCGATGAAGAGTTGGTGGATCTGCTGGTAGTACTTCAAGAGGACATGCTTCAATTTCAAGGGGAACTACTACTTTTGGGGTACAAGAAGGACCTAAGGCTGCTTCTGGTGGATTAAGAAGACCTATTGCTGTTGTTACTAAATCTAGGAGAGGAACTGCAATTGTTGTTAGATCTGTTACTAGGACAAGGAGGGCTTTATCTGTTAGTATTGCTCCTACTGCATCTATGATAATTTTGGTTCTACTCCTTTTGATTTTGGTGTTGATGGTGGTTTAGGGACACAAGCGTCCCATGATTGAAGCATTCATAATACCTTTAGGATCCACAATATATGTAAGAGATTGAAAGCATTCGCCTATATTTATGGTTTCAAAGTAAAGGATAAAAGATATTATCAGTTGGAAACACCATGACTGAAGAATGAATTTGCTAAGCTTGTGGATGATAAAATGATCAATCTCTAGATAGGGGAATTGACATATGAAGGAAGTGGACTATCTTGAGAGAGATAAGTAACTTGCATGTGAGCGGTTGCCTAAAATTGTAAACAATGAGGTCTCATATGTTTTTGTGAAGAAGAGTTTATGATAATGACAGCCCACAAAAGCTCTTTTTAACAGAGAAATTTAATTTCTAGGAAGTTGCATCGAGGTTTAGAGGCAAGAGCAATACATCATGGAGGAGATTGTTAAGGTTATTGTGTCTTATATAGCTTTTCATGTTGTCATGAGCAACTTAACTTAGGTCTTGGTTAACTAAAATTTATGATAACTTTTCAATACTTATTTAGATTGTAGTGCACGCTAAGAGATCTATCTAGCTACCATGTGCAAGACTTAATTATTCATATACTATGGGGGAATAAAAGGATGTAGCCTTTGTTGCAACCAATGAGTGACAAAGTCAGATCACATAACCCTTTTTTCTTATTTTTCTTCTTCGTTCCTCGGGAAACCAAGCACTATTTTTCCCTTTTTTTCCGAGTAATTTGATTTATCTTGTTTTTTCCGTGTGCATGTATAAACAAACTTAAAAACCAACCAAAATAAGAAATTAAAAAGGATTTGAAGTGTTCCACATTGAAAGAATGTTGAGTGAAACAAAGGGTAAAAGAAAGACTAATCATAAAACAAAGTTGAGTCCACGCAATGTTCACAAAAACCTAGAAAAACCCGAGTAAAAGGAAGAACCCGTTTGTCTCCCCTTTCAAATCATGAGCATGATTATAAATTTACGAACTCCATTGGATTACCCCAATTAAGTTGACTAATTGTTTCCTGGTCAGCAAAAAAAAACTACATGTCATATAGAATCTAAGCAACAAATGCAAAAATTTCATTAATCACATGGCAGCCAATAAAAATGTTTAACTCGGAATTTTCACATGGGCATTTCTCAGTAAATGTGCCCTATGTTTCTGAGAAAAAAATAAAAAAGAAAAGAAAAGAAAAATAGCATAACAAACATCCGTCTGCATCAGATTGGTTATATTGGTCGGTGTTGAAGGCCAAGTTGCTTTGCATTAATCATTTCTTTTTTTGGTTTTTCGAGACCTCCATTCAATGGGGAATCCACGTACCGCCCATGCAATTTTTTTATTTTTTGCCTACTTATAAGATTGGGAAAAAGAAAACAAATTAAAGCTGATTTCTAGGTAAAGGGTACTTTCACGGAAAATCTTAGGAAACAACTGTCTTTTGGTTCTTTCCTGGAATGTAGCAGCTGGATTTTATAGTTATTATTATTAGCAAGCAGCCACTTAGTTATAATAGTAAGTTTTTCACAGTTTAAAATACAATATTTCTGTATTTTGGAACATTGGTTCAAAATTCCAAGACAAGAGATAGAAATAACGGTAACTAGTGTATGTAGATACTGTAAATTGTAAAAATATTATATATATATAGTTGTAATATTCAAAGAAAGTAGAACTTTTTTTTTTTACTCGATCAAATAGATTTATTTTATTATCAGCATCCCAACAAAGGACTGTTTGAACACCTTACAAACAAAATAGAGTAAAGGAAAATCATAATCAAACTTAAGCCACACCCAAAACATAGAACTAGTAACACCAAAGACAAATTAAAATCAAATCCAAAACAGGGCATTAAAAGTCATCAACATCAACCACCACACCAAATAAATACCAGCAGCAAATGGTGGAAATCCAAGATAATAGAGTCCTAAAATCATCTTTTCGGAAGAAAGAATGTGGTTACTAGTGTTTGATCTTCTAAGCAACCTCTCTCTCTCTCTCTCTCTCTCTCTCTCTCTCTCTATATATATATATATATATATGCTGTTTAACATGTTGCTTGCTTGGTCTAACTTTTAAGGCAGTTTCTCTATTTTAGAAAGCTAAAGCTAAGCCGAATAAGTTTTGAAAAATAGCTTTTAGCTTTGTAAAAACTAAAAACAAAAATCTTTTATAAAAGGTAAAGCTAAAACTTCAAATTGAAGCGTCAGAAAATAGATGCAATAAGAAATTGAAATGCTTTAGGCTTGAGAAGCTTGACACGACTTGACTTATATAGGCTTGAGAACATATTCTTTGGAAAATTTTTCAGGTGTGTAAGGCAAAAGGAAATCCATGAGTGCAAATTTTTACTCTTAAAATTGAAGTTGTGATTCCCAAATGTTAATTAAATTCATTTGTTTCAGCAAAATTTTGAAAATTGGGGGATTGAAATCCATGACTTTGTAAGGTTAATTAGAATTATGAGTTTTTAAATTCAGAATTATTTCCATTTTATAACATTATATTATACACATCACCATTTTTTTTTTAAATTATTATTCACATCACCATTAACATACATGCATGAATACACCACCATGTCAAAGGAAAATGATAGTACATTTTCAAGGGGAGAAAGAAATTTGAACCTTCCTTGAACCTTGAACCTTATCCCTCCTAAGGAAGTTTTAACAACTTTTAGGCTAACCCTTGATTGTTGGATTTTATTGTGATAAGGATCAAATTCATCACTTTGTTTAAAGATAATAGATCAAATTACCATTCATTTTCTAACATGTGCAATTTTGCAAGTGACTTTATTAATTTGATTAAAAAATAATTAAAAGTTAATTTTTTGCTATTTTTGAACGTAATTATAAAGTACAATGATAAAATTGTATCCCTTCAAAGATGAGTAGTAAATTCAATCCATCACCTTCAGTAGAGTGATTAATTTAAACCTTTTCTCAAGTTTATTTAATTCCCCGAATTTTTGAATTGGGTAAAAAAATCAATTCTTCTTTAATTATTTGATAAGTTTCAATCTCATTTGTTTTTGCAAAATGTATTCAATAGATGAAATATATAAATTACAAGTTAATTAGATGGAAATTTTGACTAAATGCAGGACATAAGGACAATTCAATCTGTCATTTCCATCTAAATCAAATGAAAGAATCTTTCAAGTTGGAACCATGCATGACATTGTATGATATGGAAAGTTAGAGACAGTGTATGGAATGATGAGTCGGCTCCTCCCTAGTTTCCATTACCTTTTTTACCAGTAGTATTCAACATTTAACATTTATAATTACTGTTAATAACAATATATATATATATATGTGTGTGTGTGTGTGTGTGTGTGTGTGAGTGGTAGATCGTGCATATGTAAATGGTAAGAACATGTCAATTAGATAGTAGTTACTGTGAATCTTTAATAACCCTTTAAGGTTGCCATTGCCAGTTGGTATTAAAGCAATTGTAATAAGAAAATATTGAAGTTCCAAATTGGTTGCCTTGAATGCCCTATAAACCAGCAGGCTTCTATTTATTTGAAACATGGAAACATCCAATATGCAAACATGGTAAAATGGAAAGGACTACTGAACCGAATGTGATATGATCTTGGTACAGCATGTAATATAAGCAGCACTGTTAGGCGGATTTGGCAGTAAATAATAAGTTTAATTATGACATTATATATTATTAATATTGTTAATTAGCTTCTAGATGTATATATATCCCACACTTTAACTAATCTCTTGGGTTGTAGAAAAGGTTTCTGTAGATTTATGTAATATTCAGGTTGACTAAGTTCATCCTATAAAACAAGAGAAACAAAGATAAAAGGAAAGAAATTAAGGAGAGATATAAATTAAAGAAAATAGCAAAGGGAAACTTGGGTCTTGTCGCATAGTTGCATATTATCACAAAATACTGGCAGCCCCCACTAGTTTGCAGCTCTTTAAGTTGGTCTTGAAACCTGTAATCAAAGTTTTTTTTTTTTATCTCAGTGAGAAATTGTATACCCTTAGGGTCAGAGAAAATTGTGATGTTATTTTCTAAAAGCATAAGTAAAGAATTTAAAATTAAGTTTAATTAAGAACCCTAATTACAACCTGAAAACAATTAAGGGTACGGTCTATGATCTCAGCATATCTTTGAATTGTAAAAACATAAAGATTGTGTGCGCGTGTGAGAATTTTCGAGGAATTCCGGAAAATTCCTCTCACCAAGAAAATTTATGTACTTTGTCCTTGAACTTGAGAAAGAAAATATTGTGATTTTTACTATATGGAACCAAAATCTACACTTCCCAAAGCAAATTCCAAGCAATTAAAATAGACAGAGAGACAACTCTCTACTGGGGTGAAGAAGGAGATAGAAGAAGAGAAGTGACTGCGGATTCCTTGGAGATTAAAACATAGAATTTTAGAGCCAGAGTGTTGCTCTAAAATTCTAGGTGGGCAGAGCTAGCCATAATTAATCATCTTCCAAATGAACTCACCAGGAAATAGCTTTCGCCAGGCTGCAAGCTCTGAAGTAAAAAGCCAAACTCATTCATGGGGACAGGGACACCCGAGGAGTGGACCAGCACTACATCTTGACCAAACATGGCTTTCATGTCAAGTGGCCCCCTTGGAACCTCTGTTGGGACTCCATTGATAAACACTGTGATGAATCCTGAAAAAAAAGCTAAAAGAATCCTAGTTACAAGGGAATTCAAGGCACAGATTAATTAACTTTATTTCCTAGGTACTGCTAGAATGTAGAACATTTTGCCATTACTGCTCCAGATTTCCAGCCTTTTTAAGTCAGTCGCAAAAAATTAAGCACTTAATAGCTGCCAGATCCCATGCTGAAATTCTGCTGCAGAACAGCTGGTATAATGGCAGTCTATATGTTCTTCTAATAAAGCTAGCTTTTAGGTCTGAAGACTGTAAAGAAATTGAGGAACCGATATTAAGGTTTTCCTTTTCTATTGTTCCCTTAAATATTGGAAGAAAGCTTCAAATCTTAAAACAAGAGAAAGTAGAGAATCTTTAAGAAAACCTGGGAAAAGTTAAGTGTTTGGCTTAGGTTCTTTCAATCATTAGTTCCTCCTGTATAAAATTAATTTCTCTTGCAACTCATAAAATTTTCTTTAAATAGCCAAGAGAAAGATCAAAGATGGAAAAAAATGTAGTATATTTATGGGGTATAGTGCAACTCTCTTATCAAACACAAAATACATTGTTATATCACAAGAAAGTTACTGTTATAGATACTTTATTCTTTGTCGTTTTCAATCTGAAGAAAAACCTTACCTGACTTTTGAAATTCATGAATTTTAAAACATAAATTTGGGGGAATTAAGAAAGTATAATTTTTAAGTGGTTGACAAGAATCAACAGTACTCCATGTCATCTCCATAAACCAAACATGAAATAAAAATTATGTTTTGATGGAATGAAAGGAAAAATTAAGAGGCAAAACAAAATGTTAGCAATCGAAGGAATTAACTCTCGGCCATGCATTTACCAGATTGGTAGTGCAAATTGGGAGTTTCTGATGGGCACAAAACTGATGTTACACTCGAGCTCTGCCCAACTTCTTGAAATCCCATTTGACCAGACATTGAGAGTAGATTTTCAAACCCATCATCACCCATGACACCGCAAGAAGAAGAGGAGCCAACGAGGAAAGAAGATGGAGAAGAATTAGCAAAAGAAGGAGAATTTGCAAACCCCATAGCAGCAGTACTATTTTCATACTGAATTGCACCACCAACTACTTGTGCTTGGTTTCTTTGTTGATGATCTCCTGCAAGGCTAGCTTGCAGCTGTCGTTGTCGGCGGCGAGACCTTGAACGTCTGTTTTGGAACCAGTAGAAGACATTAGCATCGCCAACAGAACCAAATTTCTCAAGCAGCTTTCTTATTCTCACAGTTTCATCTTTTGGAGGGTTTACCATGCCACTGTTAAAGATGGACTCAAGTATGAGGATTTGTTCTGGCTTTGGAGTCCACCGTGACCTGACTGGTTCACTTCTCTCTGAACCATGGCTAGGACTATTACGGTCTGGAGCTTGATCTTCCATTACTGTGATGAAGAACAACAACAACAAAAAAATGGCTTTGAAGCTGAAACCTAGGTTTAAAATATAGGAGAAAAAAAACAAAGCACATGAATACACAGTCTAGAATACATTAGAAGGGTGAATTTATATAAAGAACCTGATGGAATTTCTAAAGTTACCAAATCACCCTTATGTGGCTTGCACCTCCTAGAGTTGAAATTACTTGATTGCCTCTCAAAGCTTTATCAAAGTGTTCCATCATATCTTCTTTTTTTTTTTTTGTTTGCTCAATCAAGTGGAATTCCATCATATCTTGCTCTTACTACTCATCAACCGACTCAATTAATTCTATTTAGTTTCCTTGGTTTAGGGATTTTGTATCCATATTATTCAAACTTTTTCATCAACTTTTCCTACTTAACAAAAGGTGAAAAAAGGCATACTTTCTGGTGGGTTTAGTCTGTCAATATTATTTTAGATTAGCATTGAAACATAATTAGCTAGCAGTCAAAAGATTGCCAATGTTACACATTTTCCCCCTCTTGAATAGTAGTAATGCCACCCTTTAGATTCCAATAATTATAATAATAGAAAAGCTAAACATAGTAGTATTATATTACTCATAAGCTATTATTGTTCCTAGCTACTTACCTTTCAAAACAGTTTCAATTTCAAGTTGAGTTTGGCATTGTGGTTGAGTTAATTGCAAAGTTGTGGTTGAAAATTCTCTATTTGAGCTATAAATTTAAATTCATTATTTGGCATTGTAGTTGTTACACAAAACACAATTTTCATTACAACCCAGTCATACCATTCTTAGTCTTAATTACATCATATTTAATGAAATAATTCTGATATCAACTTCTATGGTTGTTAGATATCATATTAACTCCAATAACACATTACCTTTGAAAAGAATGGTCAAAATGGTAAAAGAGACAAGAAAGAAAAGAGGATGTGAAAGGGTTGGAGAAGGAAAGCTAGGGTTTCGGCTATATGGCAAGTGCATGTGAAGGAATGCATGGAAAGCTGGGTCGCTGTAAAGGGGAGAGACAACTTCTTATTTTTCATAATAATAAAATGTAAAAGAGATGGGAAAAAAAAAATAAAGAGAAACAATCCAAAGTGATGGTCAAAAAATGGTGAAATAATAATTTATTATAAGGAGCCGTGACGTTAAGCAAACATGGCTTACAGTGGCACTGCCATCTTCTCTGTAAAACTTTTTATATTAAGAGAGAGGAGGAAAATGGGTCTTAAAGGTTGGCTTAAACTTCGAACACTTTGTCTCCTCTCCCTCCCCCATTTCTTTCTCTCTCCCTGAGCATAAAACAGGAACCGACTCTGGGTTTTTTCAGACGCGGTTTTGGGTCTCTGTTTCAAAGGATTTTGTATTGTGTGGATGATCGTCCTGGTTTAGTTTTTATTTGATAAGGGTGACAGAACGGTGCCTTGTTATTCTTTCTTATATTTATTCCAAAACTCAAAGCCATAAATATATGTAATCTATATAATAATGATGAACGTATTTGAATTTATCTATTAGTGTAAAAAGAATTCTATAGTAATTTGTTATGGCACGCACATTAAAAGATATCATATGTTCTTGTTATTTTGAAAGTGATACGGTAAATGTTAGTGGTCCAATGGTGACATATCAATGATGATAATGATCATTACTAGCCAAATTAATTCATATATCTCCTTAAGAAACTACAATGGTCAAATTCAGATTTCCAAGAGCTAGGTTGAAGTTTATAGAATAAGAGAAGGAAATCTCACATATTCAATGAGTTTTCATGTATTATTAATATAAATATATAAGATAGTTACTAGATTGTTGATTTTATTTTTTCTTCTTTTGGGAAAGACAAACGAATTTTATTGATGGATAAATATTATTACATAAGACTTGAGATGACTATTGCCCCAACACCGTCTTAAATGATAAACACCACCTGAAAATTAAAGAAACTTTTGGTTGATTTATTTTATTTAAAAAAAAGGCATGTGCTTGAATTTATTGATAATTAGGCTTGTCGGCAATATTGGTCAAATTTCTAGTCTTTTGATTATAGATGGAAGACTGGATGTAGCATAGCTTATCATATAACAGTGCATCACTTCCAAAATCTTCCCTATCAACATCAATTTGCACTTTCTCTCCTTTTTTTTCAGGGTCGCCTCAGGTTCCGTAAATTTCAAAGGGTCATTTATACTAAGTAGATTATTCGAGAGCAGTAAAACTTTATATATATAAATATATATATATATATATGAAAAGTAGCAATACGGATTTCATTACCTCATTATAAAGATAAAAAAACTATCCTTGTAAGATAGTGATGTATCACAATACATGCATGATATAAAAACCTTTTTTATATTTATTATCATGAATATATATATATATATATATATATGTGTGTGTGAAAAAGTGGAAAGGAAATGCTGTTGTTCTTTCCTTTTGTGAGATGAATAACCAAAATTCACAGGAAAGGAAATTTCTCCTTTTTGTAATTTTACTCATGGGATCCTTCACTGCTGCTCTATTAACCCGCAATCCCCGCTATAAATAATTAGGAATTTCACATCAATGTGAAGATTAGCTAATTTACAAAGTAAATAATGATGCATGACGAAATGGCACCTCAATATATAGTCCCAAGGCTGGCATTCACTCAATATTATAAGACTAATATCAGTTTCAATTCTAATCCAATGTAACATGCTTTTACATTATTAACATTTGGAAATATATATTTTTGTTAATAATAATTAATATATACTATGGTTGAGTGGCTCACATATTATGCATATGAATCCTCGTTAAGGGAACTAAAAAAGGAAACTAAATGTAGATAGTTTGGTGAAACGCACACACTGGGGGCTAAAGTAGTTCGAGCAAATCAAAGCGAAAATGCTCAATACATGTGCCCCAAAAGCAGAACTAGATGTTGGCCGGTGTCCCCAAAAAATTATCTGCAAAATTCTCCAAAAAAGAAAAGGAAAAGAAGTGAGAACAACAAGAGTAATAAATAAATAATATAGTTGCATGGGACTGATGGCATGGGTGTTTGGTAGGTTGCCACTTCTGTCACCTTTACAAGGTTTTCTAGGCTTTTGGACTTTATCTACAAATGGAAAACTGCCTACTAATTTAACAGTGAAAGGAATCTTCACTGTGGTGACAGCCTTTTTATGTTTTCGCTGTGCTTACTGTTCTCTTTCGTAATACTGCAACTATTACTTCAATTTCTCCGCTGCTGCTGAGCGTGACTCGTTTCATCCAGCTGTTTACATCAATATTTTTCTTTTAGCTCTTTGTCTACCTTTATAATATTACTTTATTCTCAACACAAAAAATAAGATTAAAAAAATTTAATTTACACAGCTCATGTTCCCCCCAATAAAAGGAATTAACATCCTTCATAATTGATTAAGAAGTGAAATGTGGGAGTGAATAGTCATAACAAATCTTACATTTACATCCTTATGTAATTTAACTTTAGAGCTAATTAACTAGCCAAAAGAATAGTGTATGATTTGTTTAGGGGAATTTTGATTCACTTATTTAGTTGTTCAATTAAGCAGAGAAAATGTGATGCTTGATCCCTTGATTCGTCAAATAGATTTTATGTTGAAAATATTAATAAGAAAAATTTATTTTTCTCATATCTTTTAAATTTCAAGATCGTATCCCTCTACATATGCTATGAGAGGTTAAAAAAAGACGCATACGATTATAAAAATTAAATATTTAAAAATCACACTCCTAAAAGTGATTTTATTTTAGTATCTATAATTTATATTTTTTTTCAATGCAAATATCAATCATTATGGTAATAAATTATTTACTTACTTGGAAGAAGTAAAAGTGTACATAGAAATAAGATCGATCACCCTTCCAATCTTAATCGAAACGGTCAATTGTCTTTATACAAAAGAAAAGCAACTTAAAAATCTAAGTATGTTTATATATCCAAACTCCAACCATCATATCAACATCACCTGAGGAATATTAGGAGGTATAGGACCACTAAATTCAACTATTTGTCTCTCCGACCTTATTGTTTTGCTTTTCTTTGTCAAACATAATTGGACCACAAACTCAATTAACAAGTCAATAAATTCTTGACTACTATCTAAACTTTGCTTCTTGACCAGGATTACAAACAGACCAAACTTGCTACTTCTGACACATTGCGTGCTTTGTCTAAATCATCAAAACCGATTTTGACCAGCAAAAAGGAAGACAAAAGGATAATGGCTTTGCTTGCCCTTAAATTGAATATTGCTACTTGTTGCACTTATATTAGTCAATCTTTCCTGTAACTATATGTTGACAATGTGAGGATGAAGAAGAAGAAGAGAATTTCCCAAGGAAATGTCGCATTCGGCTTCTTCTACCTCGCTTTAAGAACAAATGTTTAATCTTCATGTGCTTCAATCCTCATGGGAGTATTATTCTTTGAACCCCCATATATATATATATATATATAGATACACCAAGATGTTCACATGATTACTATTCCATTGAATTAATTACTTTATGTTAGCAAATTAACAGTTCATTGGTAACAATTATTGAAGCATTTTTTTTTCCTTTTCTCTTGCTGTATCTTTTATAGTCCGGTGGGGTAATGGCATCTTCAAGATACATGAATTTGAGGAAACTATAAGATGTCAGACCAATTATTACTCTGTCTAGATTAAAATAGCGTCAATTAACAAATTCGTGGAGGTGATAAGGATACTCACTTTGATTCTTTTGTTTTTTTTTTCTTGTTTCTTTTTAATTCTATACCTAGCTCTTGGTCTACAAATTCAACCTAAGACTTCTCTTTTTACAGGGAGAGATGTTCCATTCAACTTAAACAGTTGCAAAAAGCATTGATGACTGTCAAAAAAGAGTGTACAAACAACATGGGTTGGGGCTTTTTTTGTCCCTCCAAGCTGTACTGTTTGATATAAATTTTTGTACTGATAAAGTGGTCAGCTATAGGTTCCATAGCAAATCCCTCACCCTAGGCATAGGGTGTTTGTTCTTTTTTTTGATCATAATGTTTTCTTCAGAAAAAGAAAAGAATATAAGAAACAATTATGTTAGAGCCTATTTATGTTTCTGGACCCTTTTTTCCTAAGATCTAGCATATGAATAAGTGCCATATAGCAATAATTTTCCAACAGTTTGATGTGCATTGTCTAAACATGATTGCAATGTTGTTAATTGGTTCCATATGTGTTTAATAAAATCATGACTCTGATAACTTAGATAAGTGAATCAGTGAATGTTTCTTAGGGGCCAATTGATCTAGCTACGATTTGCAATAAAATTAACATGTGGGATTCTTCATAAATCTACAACTTTTTTCATTTGATTAAGCATAGAGAACACACACACACATTTATATGGTTTATACGTATGAAAAATTTAAAAATAGATCATTTTACCAAGTCCTTTGCGACAATGATCAATTTAAAGCCTAGTTAAACAAACAAATGTTCACACCAATCTATCTGTAGATAGAAAATTGAGAAAGAAGAAAAAAATAATTTTTAAATAAAACTTGTCCGCATATCAAGATTTACACAAAAATAATCACTCGTAGTAAATAATTTTAACGTGATTTGACTTCCATTGTCCACATGCATTCAAGAACGCGAGAGAAAAAACTCTACCATAAACCTAACAATTACAAAGAATATAAAATATTTAAAAACAAACACTAAACTTGAGCTCCAAAACAAAATAAATTTTTATACTTCAACGTTTAAACCCATGAAATACCTTCTATATCATGTAACCAATGTTTAACATCTCTACAGTTTTATAAAATCCTCACAGAAAATCCATCTCTCACATAAAGATTACACTTCTCTCATAATTTTAAAGACTAATTAAGAATGCCTACCCATATCAAAATTATTACGTTTAAAATTTAAATCAAATATATATCTAACATTTGCAATGCAACGTCCTCACTCTGATTTCAGCTTTACTATCGGAGGACTGCAAAGGTTGCTTTCTTCAATCAAAGCTTGATGCTATTGTTAAGATCTAGAACTCACAACCAATTGATTTTGTCACTTTATTTTATATATATAAGCCAATCATTTATTAATAAGGCAAAACGTTAGACTAACGGAGTTCATGTTTCTCCAAGTTTACTTAATCCTCCAAGCTGTAAGTTAACGGGTGATGTTGGAAAAGAATAATAATTAGGTAAAGCACATGGTTTTGGTATTTGATCAGTTCCATGACCCAATAAATTCTTTGGGCCAATTTGGATCTTTAGAAGCAAGTACTGAGCAATGTTTTAGGCTGGAGGGACTGTGGGTCCTGCCCAAGTTGAGCTTAGTTTGCTGCCCATGAGTTTATAAATTATAAATGTACATATGTACTTAAACTTTGATTGTTGGCAAATAGAGAGTGAATAAAATTTTATATTCCTTCTATTTTAGAGATTTAAACATTATGGGAAGGACAATTTTATGCTTGGTTTAAATTTCATATTTAAATGTTTAATTTAATTAATAATTAAGTACACATATTTTATGCTCGAGTAAGCTTTGAAGTTTCTTCTATATTCCTTGAATCTTTGTTAATTCTCATGCTTGCATGAATGATTCTTATTCCCACAAAACAATTATTGTCCAGTTAAGAAGCATGGGTGGTGCAATAAATTGCGGAAATGGGTCATCTCATGGCAGTAACTTTTTGCCTTTTGTCCACAAATATCGCTTGAAAAGATATCATAAGTCTGCAGTAATTTTCAAAAGATCATTTACCAGACAAAGGAATCCATAGCTAGTTCATGAGTTCTTTTTATTTTTATTATTAATGCTATTATCATCATTGCTTTATCTTTACAAGGGAGTTACTGATGTGATTATCAGACAGTCTCCACTTTTATGAACACTGAAAAGAAAGAGAAAAGAAGAGGCTTTCTATTCTATTCTATTTGATTATGACATGTATGATCCCTAATTGCTTTACGAATTCATCTCATGACTATTAATGCCTTCGAAAATTTTATGTCACTCAAACAATCAAATTAATTCAAAGTTCTGCACTTATGTCCCCAAAAAGGGGAAAGAATGAAAGGTGATACAGTATTTGATCATAAATTTTTGTTTTTTGAAAGGCTGGTAATTGTATTAAGTACCAAGTTCAACAGGGGAAGGTCCCTATACAATCGACCAAAAGCCGCAGTAAAACAAACAAAAATGGTCCAGCGAAGAACCCACCACATGACATAAGCAGAAAAAATAAAATTAAAGAACCCTTTAAAAGGCCAGTGGATTTCAAACAAATTCTTTACGAGTTCAGTTACTCTTATGTTCGAGCTTGGCTGATTGACTAAACGTTTTTGAAGAAATCAAGTTTGAGCCCGTTTATTTGGTTTAATGTGAATGGAAAACAAATGTGATATGTCAACTAGAGCTGAGTTTCAAAAGTAACTTGCAGCCAAATCCTTCTTTCCTTCGCAACTCAATTTAGAAGGCCCTCCGTCTGGGATTAAAAACACTGCAATTTCTCCTGATTTCTCCAGCTTTTCCAACAAGAACTTGGATTCTTCCCATCTTCACCATAGCCTGGGCAAACCTGGTTCTAAATAGAGTTGCATTTGATGCAAAGCCTGAAACAATACGTCTGGATAATCCATCATTAGCTAATTCTTGATCAATCTGCATTACCCCTCTCCTTAAACGAATCTGCTTGAAGAATTGATTATCGACAGTGACAGGTGTGCCTTGGTCTAGAAATGCTGTAGGGTCAGGGTTTGAAGCACTGGCTGCACCACAAACATTCCTTAGCTTGGCAACCAAACCAGGATTCATTGTAGGATCAGGACGCCCAGTTCCCTGGAAACTTGTAATCCTGTCTAAAAAGAAACTACAATGAGCAACACCAACTGTATGTGCACCCAAAAGGGTAACCATATCATTCAAGGTCATATTTTTAGCCCTGAAAATTTGGAATGCCTGTGAGACAGACAATGTTGGCCCTGGCAAGTTTACTTCGTCAGGATCTGAGACTAGACCGTCTCGCCTTCCTGTAGGAACTGCATAGAAGGGTCCTCCTCCTAGAAGCACAGCATCTCGGGTTGCTAGTGCTATGATATCTGCACAAGAAACTGTTGAACGACATGCTGCTTCTACGTCTTTCTTTGCTTCATCAATGAGCTCGAATCCACGTACTGTCAAGTTAGGCCCTGCATCTTTCTCTGATGGCGTTCTGCTGGTTGAGTCTATGAGAATTGATGCATCACAACCCTAAATAAAGTAGAATGTAAGAAGCTTGTGTCACTAAAATTCGCATCACTTCCTCTCTCTCAATTTTATAAAATTCAACTATTTTTATTTCTATCAAGTTACAAGTACAATAGAAGTTACAATCACAAACAATATTACGTTTCACATAAGAAATCAATAAAATAAACAAAATAGACAAACCAAACCAACAACTTAGTATACATTTAAATAAATTCATGTATGGTGAGACTTGAACCTATTTAAACTTTCATTAATTTTTATTGACTATATTTGTCTTTTTCAAATTATAGAAAGGCTAAAAAAAACTTTCAATTATAACCAATTCAAATAAAAAAAAAAAGATGTGGATAATATGCTCATCATATAATTTTTTTGATAAAGTGAAAAAAAAGAACATATATAAAAATACGTATTTAATTAAAATTCAGAAATACATAAATATATTTAATAATATTTATGAAGTGCAATGTTTATTAGGACGTACTCTTATCCTCTCCATATATATATATATATATATATATATATATATATATATATATATGAATTAAAACAGATAGAATAGAGTTAAAGCCAAAAGCGTTGATCAATGGTGGTCATGTGTTCGAACATATGGAATATGATAAAAGCTTACTCTAACGAAACAATCATGAAAATGCATGCGAAGCAAGGCTGCAGTGATGGATCTGTCACGACGGAAGCGTCTTTGCACAGCTGCTCGAACTATGGACTCAGCTCGTGGACAGCTAGACCTGTAAAAGCCAACCCTTAGGTTTGCTAAGGCAAGAGGAAGAACGAAGAGCAAAAGCAGAAATGTAATCTTTAATCTCATTTTTCCCTTTTCTCTTGGGTATGAATGAAAAGTTTTTGAGCTATTAAGAACAAATTCGAGTTTACATATATATATATATACATGTAAAGAAGCAGAAGTAACTGGTTTTGTGGTTGGCCACAAACCTGTCTCGGAAACGTGCCAAGGTCAAAGTGTCCAATATAAAACACGGTTTCAGAAGGCATAATATTTTATTTATAAAATCACAACAGAACTAGTTCAATTGACAAAAATTGATGAAATATATATATATATATATATATATATATTTCCATTTGATAATTGAGATCAATGTTTGCAACAGCTAGAAAGCATGAATGTCAGTTATCAATGAGAATCATTCTAATTAGTTAAGCACGTTGTATTCAAAGAATTTTATATGCCATAGACCATCAATTGATTGTATATTGGCAAGATAAATATAATCTTTGTAACAATTTCTCTTGTTCTTATGATTGTAATTTGAGTTGAATTCTTTCGAATCACTTAAACAGTTTTAATTTAAGATGATAATCGATGAATTAATAAGCATTAGTTCACATTAAAAAAATATATAAACAAGTACATAATTTGTCATTTTCAATAATCAATAATTCAATTAAGTAACATAGGTATATATCAGTATCAAAATGACAGTATGCAACAACTGTCAGAAGCCATTGAAACTGGAATTCAAGCACTCCATATGTTAATGCAATATCTCTTTCCATGTCACAAGTTGTCTATTTTGGTAATGAAAAGAAACAAATTAGAATAAGCCACAACCCCCTTCTTTCACATTTCGCCTATTATGACTTTTTCTTGTTATATCAAGGAAGCTATTGACTCACGGGATGGAGGAGATATGCCAACAGTCGGAGGGAATTGAAGGCCAAACTATCACAGCCTGTGTCTTGTGAAAGTATTTTATTTAATTAATTGATTTACCCATAAATGGAAAAGTCAAATCTTGCCCATATCCACCAATTATATGAAAAATTTATATTATTAATTGAAGTCATTCAGTTAAGAAATTGGTTCCACCAGAGAACGTCAACCAAATCTGATATACATAACAGGCTTTGATTTCTTCATCCTTCCGAGCTATGAATGTTCATAATTTGCTAGGAATGAACAGGCTTGCACGTTTTAAGTCTTCAATGTATTGACCCATCACAAGTAATTACATACTCTGGCTAATATCTTTGCCCAACAAGAAATGATAAAATTTGATTTTTCCATGTTTTATTTCTCAAAACTAAAGGCACAAAGAAATAAGAGATAAATAAAAAGTTTTTGTGACGCTGTGTCATCCCTGGTCTGCTACTAGCTAGCTAGAGAATTATGGCATGTTGTTTCAATATTTTATATTAATAAAGAGTTGGGAAGTTAGGATTCTATTGTATCCACCAAAATAATTGGCTTTCGGTCTAAGGGGAACTAATTTTGTCCAATTCAACATCTTTGTGATAACATTATTCATCCTCAAACCCTCACAAAAAATGAAAGTGCAGTCTATAAGATGAAGGATGGCGATATATCCTCCTATTATGAAAGAAAGAAAGAAATCTCTGAGTTTCCTTCCTCTTTATTTTCTCTTCACCAAGTGATGATAAAATGGTTTTATCCCTCCTTATTTTCCTTTCCTTGAGTTTCCTTCCTAACTACCATAGTGTTAGTTTTCAGGAATCACAAGATACATTGTATTCTTACCCCACATGATACAGTCAGATAGACATTAATGATACAAGCAAACAGAGGGATTTTAATGGGGACAAGTGGATTTTACAACTTCAAATTGGCGAAGTGTGCCTCTCATCCTTTCAAAAACAAAAGGAAATACGGTTGTTTATCTTAACAAACTCTTTGCAAAGAGGGGAATTGGTATATGTTTTAGTTTTATAAAATTCATAATATTATACAATTACAATTGCCTGTGAATGTAAGGTCCTTGTAAATTCACATGAATCCTGCATTAGAGATAACTGAAAGATACATATTAAAAAAATTGTAGTGAAAAATAATTATTATCTGAATATGAAACCCAAGTCTTATAGTTTCATTTATTTTTTTCTTAATATATGAGAGAGAAATGGATGATTGAAACTGATGGATATAGTTCTAATCCAAAAGCAACAACTTGTTGATAAAAAGAAGACTTCACAGCAATCTAGAACTGCATCAATGGCAAGCTAAGAGCCACTAGTGAGGGTGAAGAATCACAGCTAAAGTGGCTAAACCTGTTTAATTGAACTAGCTTCTAACAAGCAGATGACAGAAAATTACTTAACTGAATTCATGGAACTAAAACCAGGGAGGTTCAATCCAAATTCTTTCCATTGGGTCATGCAAAACCCAAGGATGAAAACCCCATACACGTATATTTGTAATCTGCATGCAAAGAATAGAATTAAGAGCTACACTTCCCTTCAGCTGCTACTGCAAACGAGGTACAACCTGGAAACAGTGCTTGATTTCCTAGCTTGTGTGTCTCCATCCAAACCATCTCAGACATACTTGAAAACGTAAAAGGTTCCCGAACTGCCGCAAAAGCTCCCCGTTGGATTCAACCAATTGTGATCTGGACCGAAACAGGATTCCTGTAATTGGCTCAATATCCGTAAGCAAACTACAGTCACGATCTCCAACAAGAACGCCCAAATACCCCACCAATAGGGATACAAGAAAGGTTTCCATTACTATAAGCCACATCCTCAACCGCCTTCTCAAAACCATCCAAAGCAATGGAGCACCATTATAGATCACCATGGGAACATATGCTAATCCAAATTTGGGCTCGAGGAAAGTGTAGCTCTGGTAAAGGTAATGTTCATATTGGGAAGTCTAATTGCTTTATTGGAGGAAAAATGCTCTATGGCTTTGTTGTAGCAGCAACTATCCTTAGTTTGAAGCACAAATTCCGGCACCAAAATAATTCTTGCTCTTCCCTCACTATTTTCTTCGTGATGTGAGTTTATTTAGGATGTGGAATATGGAATGAACTCAGCCGAGTCATGGCACCTCCATTATTGAGATCAACATCCTAGAGGTGGCCAAGTAACCGCGGAACATTCCTTTCATATTGAGGAACTTTAGCCAAATGCCAATTTTTGCAGACAAACTGAAAGCGAATTTGGTAAATAATCATGGGAAGTCATCCAATGATCAAATTTAAGATATCAACAGAAAGATCAAACCATGCACTACATCCCATCTGCTTCCCCTCTGAACTGTGATACCCAACATTCCACATCTGAGGTGAATGTGATTGTTAAGATCTATATAATAATCCAAGTCTATTACTACTAGCAATTTGAGCTTAAGTTTTTTAGGGTTACGTGATTTAGGCTCAAAGAGTTGCAGAGCCAGTGGTTGGACTTGGATCGTTACAAATGGTATCAGAGCTTATACTAGTCCGATGTGAGCTTTCACATTGCTCTGAAACATCTCACATCTGATGTGAATGTGATTGTTAAGACGTATATAACAATCCTAGTCTATCAGCTTAAGCTTTTGAGGGCCACCTAGTTTAGGTCTAAAAAGTTACTAGGCTAGTGATTGGACTTGGGTTGTTACAAACAAATATGCTTCTGCGAATTAACCATAAGTTTCCTTTTGATAAATCTTTCAAACATTGACTGTTTTGACAAGAAGCACCAGCTTCCACTGAAGAACTTAAGGAAGCTGAAATCTCAATTCTTGCTTAGCTCTTGTTGCCACATCAAAATGGCCTTGATGGGGACATCAAGGATTTGAGTGGTTGGGATTGTGATACCCAATATCATTTGAGTGGTTGGGATTGTGATACCCAACATCCCACATCTGATGTGAATGTGATTGTTAAGACGTATATAACAATCTTAATCTACCACTACTAACAACTTGAGCTTAAGCTTTTGAGGGCCACCTAATTTAGGTCCAAAAAGTTGTTAGGTCAGTAGTTGGACTTGGGTCGTTACAAGCAAATATGCTTCTGGGAATTAACCATAAGTTACCTTTTGATATATCCTTCAAACATTGCCTGTTTTAACAAGAAGCACCGGCTTAAAATCAAGTTCATACAGGAGATGAAATTTTCCCCCTTATCTTAGTCTCTCCTATTAATTAAAGCTACATGAAAAATATGGAAAAGAAAATGCAATGGAAAGTCACACTGCAAACATTCTAATAGCATCATAACAAACAAGAACTAACTTGTAAAAATGGAATTAGAACTTCATTGCAAAAACAATGGTGTTGACAAGACCACATTCTGTGAGGCTCAATTCTTTGCAAATAGTATTATTCCTATGAGATATCATAAACCCTGATCGTGATTACATCAAATTAACAGAAATTGATTAATTTTCATTTTGTAATTTAACATTTTTATACCTTATATTTCTTTTTCCTATTTGGTCTTGCAATATAAATCTATAGCAAAGTCTCTTTATTTTTTTTTTTTAAATCTAGTCTAAGAGCATGTTTGGTCTAGTTTTTTTTTAGCGTAAAAGCTATTATAAAGCTTTTATGAAAAATAATAGCTTTTAGAGTTAAGCTGAAGTTGTTTGGTAATTTTTTTTTATAAGTTATAATTTTGGTTAAAATTATTATAAAAGATTTTTTTTAATAAGGTAATATTGTAATTATTTTTAACAGATGAAGATAGTTTTAAAATAAAAATAAAAATTTTTTAGTATTTTTAAAAAAAGAGGAGCAAAAGCTCCTCATAGGAGTTTTTCCTTACGCTCTTTTTTAAAAAATTTTATTCTTTAAAAAAAAGTTACTTTTTTTAAAAAAAGTTTTTTAAAATTTATATTTGATCTGACTTTTCCTTTTAAGAGGTAGATAAACTAAAAAAAAATCAAGCCAAACAAATACTACAACTAAATACTAATATAATAGGAATTTCAACATAGAAATTCATGTATTTTTTTAGATTAATTTGAACCTACATTTTACTTTAAGATAAAAAGGATTTTTATTGATTAGTTTAAAACATTACAAATAACATTGCAAATTGAACTTTGAAATTAGCTTTCTTGAGCAAATCAAACCTCCAAGTTTCGACCCGCCCGAAAGGCGTAACGATCTGGACATTGCTTCAAATTTTCATTCAATGACTGGAGAATAAGCTTTGGGCTTTTCATCCAAAGAAAAGGTTGGACTTAACATTCTTAACGTGGGCTTTCAAGATTCCAATTCCTATATTTCCAAAAGACCCAAATCTAAACTCAATATACATATATATATATATATATATATATATATAATAGCAAAGGCATGAAAAATATTAGGAAGACTTTAAAAAATTTTTAGGTGACTATTTTTATTTTTATTTTTATTTTATCAAAGTACATTTTTAAGGTAATTTTATCTTATCAAAATATGTGACTTTAAATTCATCATCAAATTATGCAATTAATCCATTTACTCTGCTAAAATGATGGATTTAATCTTTATATAATAATTTATAAAAACTTAATCATTATATTTTCAATAATTGACAATGTCAATGAAATAATTAACTATATTAATTTTTTTTTCATTATTTATACTGACATAACATTTACCTATATTAACGTCGCATGTTCTTGTTAATATGACATTAAACATACTAATGTAACATTCAAAAAAGATACAATAATTATGTTGACGTGGTATTAATTAAAAACAAACATAACTTTTAAGTGAGAATGTGATGCTAACGTGGCACTATTATATTGCTAATGTGGTATTTTTTCAATTTATACATAATGAATGCTAGTTTTTGGTACTTAAGAATTTAGAGATAGAAAATCTTGCTCTTTTTATAAACCAAGTGTAGTGATTATTATCCAACTGTGGAGGAGATTGTAAAATTAATGCCACATCATTACAATCAAATGCTATGTCAACATAAACGAAAAATTTTAACATTGGATTGAACCTACATTGTTAATTTTAAAAAATACAAAAACTTAATTTTTATAAATTATTATATAGAAATTAAATCTATCATTTTAACAGATTGTGGACACTAATGCATAATTTAACCTTTAATTTTTTTGAATTGAAAGTAAATATGTTTTATCATTAAATCAAATACCTCTAGTGTTTTAATCACAATTTTTGAATACCATAAAAACTATTCCAAAAAAGCTGAAAACTAAAACAAAAATAAACAATAACCTTCCTCATTTCCTATGTAGATGAAATATACGTGACTCTATGATGATCAAAAGCTATTTATAAGCCGGAAATTAGGGCCCTAAGGACGAAGGAAGCATTAAACTTCAACCCTTTTAAAAGAAAGTAACAATTATTATGCCGATCCTTGATTGCTCGAATTAACATTCTGTGAAGGCAAGAATATGAACCCTTTTTTTATTTTGTTCTTTCAAATGATGATAAGAATGACTTTATGGTTTATCCTGAGGACTCTGAAAGCGATTTCTTCTGGAGGGAATTGGGCCATAACGAAAGGATACATACATATATATTCTATGGCGTGTTGAATCTGCTCCCTCTGTAGGCAATAAAAAGAAAAGAAACTTTTACCGAGAAAGAAAGGACGCGTAAACAAAGCTGAAAATCGAAACCCCTTTTGGGGGTTGAACAAAGATTCTAGCCACGGCTTTTTATCAATGGAAAAAAGATTCGAAATTGGGAAGAAATTATAGTGAAAAAGATGTAAAAAGTTGAAAGAAAGTGGACATAAAAGGTGTACCTATATGAAGAAATACGGACTTCCGTGATGAACGGTAATATCAGATAAAATTCAAAAGGAGGAGCCTGGTGTTAGCTAACTTCTTCTGAAATGGAAAGGTAAAAACCGGCAGGCGAATTGGATTGACAATTGTAACTTCCCGGGGACTTCGTGGAGAGAAAATGGGTGGTAATGACAAGAATAGATAAAGAGACAAAGATTGCACATAAGACTTTCTCAAGCAACTGAGAAAGCTGAAAATTCCAACATTTTATAGCTACTTTTCCGGCGAGATAATGTCTTATGTTCTACGTATGTATGGTCATAATTCAACTTGCACATGTTATTCATGGTAGTTTCAGCAACCCTAAATAACTGATGGTGCAGAAGTTCAATGTACACAATATTTTGAGGAGAAAACGGACCCCAAGCACGGGAATTTGCTAACACAATTTGAATAGATAAGAATCAAGGACAATCCTCTCATCTATTTCTTTCTTCTTTGTCAAATTACATTGAAAGAGACATGCAAGTGTATGAAACAGGCCGCAGATGATGAACAACACTCAATCACTGTCTTCTACTATTTACAGTACTCTCAAAGATGAATTGATACGTTGCCTACCCTGTCAATCATCAGAGTAGCTTTACTTCCTATGAACTTGTAGCTTTAGCCTTCAGACCAGAGAACAACACAGATCTCCCTGATGCATAACAAGAATTGATGATGTTTGTGCCTTCGATATGCACAAAGCACATAATACAGTGAGATGTCCAGGCCAAATGTTATAAGGGACCCTCATGTGCTCTCCTGGAATGTGTGAGAACGCGAAAGAGCTGCAGGGTTTGCTTCCAAAATATAACTGCCATCCAGTAAATGGTCTTTGCCTTCTGCTTTAGACTCAAAAGCATTGAAAATTTTACCTCCTCGTAAAGGATCCTTCTGGTCAGGTTTAATACCTAATGTAGCCCATATAGGACTCCTTGAAGCTTCATTTGGGTCATCAATTCTAAGGGTCTTTGGAACCAGAACACACTTTTCTGATTGCTCTTCGACAAAATTTGCTTCTCTGGAATGTTTGCCTAGTCTTGGTGACCCATTGCCTGAGCAGCAACTGTTGCTAGTAGAGGATGATGGAGATAGGCAACCATTGGAGCCACTGAATGACACATTTCCTCCACTAGCAGCCCATAGAGGCATGCAACCCCAATAAGCATGCACAAACTGCAGAGGAACATTCGGTGGGCAAAATCCAGGAACAGCCATCATGGGTGTAGGGCACCATTGAACAGCATTTGAAGCACCGCTATTCAGTGCACCAATACGCTCAGAAGAAGACTGACCAACTGCCATGGGAGCTACATTATTCATTCCTGGATTCCAAGGAAAAATCCAGGGTGGGATGGGATAGCATTGTGGTGGATGTGTATTCTGCTCATTAGGTCCTGCCAAACCTACTCTCTCCTTTTGCATGACATTTCCAGGTAAGTCATTCCCCGGAATGCTGCAAGGTGTAGCAGAAGATCCACAGGAGGAGGGTTCCTCTCGTATTTCTCCACAACTGACTGTACCCATCTCGACCCTTCTCTTCTGGTCTCCAAGGCTAAGTACGGTCTCCATGGATTCACAAAGAGGTGCTTCAGCACCAAATTTTAGAACTGTTCCATTTCCCATGGAAGGCCTAAAGGCAGTTGTAGATTCACCAGGAGATAGAAGTTGTTGATTTGCTGAGTCAGGGGTTTCTATCCGAGTCATTGGTACTCCATCAGATGAAACTATTATCTGACGGTACTGAGAGGCCAAGTGCTTATTTTTCCTCCGCCCAGCGCCAATAGGAACATTTCTCATTGTTCCACCAGCTGTCCAATATCTCTGGCAATTCTTGCAAAAGTGTCGAGGTTGGTTGACATTGTAGTTATTGAAGTAACAGAATTTTGTGTCTAAGCTGTTGCACCGTGGACATGGAAGTACCTTGTCTGGCTTCTTAAAAACTTTCTCTTGGTCTGCACTATTTGTCTCTGACTGTTCATCTTTGAGCTTAGAGTTTGTTTGTATCTCATTTGATTTCATTGAAGTCTGGTGTTCTTCCTCATCATTTTCTACAGTAATGGACTTATCTGGATCACCAGATGTGTTTGCATGAGAAGTCTCAGTTCCTGGGTTTGTTATCTCACTGCTGGTGTCCTGAAATTCAAAATCAAAATAACTGTCTCATTTATAAAAGGAAATTTAGAAAAAACTTGGCATAGAGAGAAGAATGAAAACACAGAACACTCACTAACATTTTCTTGTCTTTTATATTTCTTATTGAAAGGAAAAACAGAAATATTGTTGTCTGTTTTATGTCATTCAAAAATAAGAAGACTTTATAAAAAGCGAACAAACCAACTTATTAATATTAACAAAATAAAATAGAACAAAACATATGGTTAACATGATTTTGTGATAAAAAAATCAGCCATAAACCAACCATTAACATTCATCAACCCATCAGTCAAATTGTACTTAAAAGTAATATATAAGAAAGTTGTTCATGACCAAATTCAGAGGAATAATGTTCAAACTGACCTCTCCCAAAGTTTACAAAACTATGATTAGCAACTAGTTAGAAAGTATGACTGTCATAATTACAAGACTTTATGCAAAGGTACGGCAATGAACAACTTCTAATAAATCAAGTTGGACTAACTGCCTTTCCCCCATCACCCAGAGACAATAAAAGTATATAAAATATATTTTTTTGAAGCTGTTTTTTTATTCAAAAATCAGGAAAAGATGGTCCAAGAGGAAATCAAAATTACATGATCCTATCCTGTTTAAAAAAAAAAAAACAAATTACACCGGACTTTTGGCTTTGCATTTCTGTCAATGAAAACTTTTACAGCATCCAAGAAAATTGAAAATAACTTCCCATATTCAAAAATAAAGGAACTGCGATGCACCAACCTTCAAGAAACTTATTGTTATCAAAATAAATTCAAACAAAATTCAGCAAAAATAAACAATAGTCACTTAATTTTGTTACAGTGGCCAAAATTCCCTGCTAAATAAAGAATTCTATGTAGCAATCTGTATTAGGAAAATCCCAACAAAAAAAAAAAGAGGCAGCAACAAATTTTGTTTCCTACATAATCAAATTCTATACAGAAATATGGTTTTAGAAACATCCCAATGAACATGTAATCTCTACTGCCAAAATCAACCAAAAGGCTTCAAACTTCTTTAAAAAAATGAAGGTAAGAGGATTAAATTATACTAGAACATCTTTTTGTAAAGTTGATGCTTAGGAAAACATAAAGTAATTCCAGAAATAAAAAAGCTAAAAATAATTTGTATGAGCATACTTCCCGGAGCATCCAAAGTATCACCTGCCCCCATTTTTCCGCAAATTTAAGGCTAAGTTTAGTTCATCTAAAACCATATGTTAAAATACATACATATATATATATATATAGAAACATCATAAAAAAAAAGGAAAAGAAACTACACAAAAAAAAACGAAACCATATCTCATTTATACCATAAAAGCAAACAAAATTCATTCCAAAATACCAAGTCAATGAAAGTTTTCAATAAAAACAAACAAACATGAAGCTGAAGACATGAAAATCATGTCTTCAAGTCCTAAAACTTCAACTTTGGAACCAAAACAGAGCCTCAAAAACTCAAAACTTTTCCAACAAATCAAAACAAAACCGAAAGAAGAACCGAAAAAACCCAGAAACATTAATCCAAAAACAAGAGCAGAAAGGGATAGTTAACTTCAAAAGACAACATGAAAACAAGAAAAAAGAAAACATTTAAACCAATGCAAAAAAAAAAAAAAGAAATGAACTTTAGATATATGTAAGCTTACGCCAGCATGAATCTGAGGTTCAGGCACAGCAATCTTCCTCCCAAAGAGCTTGAAAGCTGGATCTCCACCGTTCATTTTCTTCACATAAAATATTTGGTGTTTTTGCAAGAATGAAGAGCAAGGACCATAACTCTTAAACCAAAACAAAGAGGGTGTTTTCAAGATGAGGAAAAAGAGACTCTTTTGGAAAGGAAAGGAAAGGAAAGGAAGCAACTTTTTATAGTGTTTTTAGTCTTTTTTTTTCTGTAAAATCCTAGAAAACCCCTTAAAAACTAAAAACCCAAAGCAAAAAAAAAAATTGATAAAAAGTCTCTGAGATAAAGCATAAAGAACGTGAAGGATCAGAGTACAATTTTTTAAACTTTTCTGCCTCTCTTTTTCCTCTATTTATTTTGAAGATAAGCTGTCTATTTCCTAAACTTTTTTATTTATTTTTCTTGGCAGGGTTATAAATTCTAGGCCATGTCACCTTATTTATTAATAAAAAAATTGGTTACTGCCTGTTAATAATTATTTTCTTTTCTTGTCTTTTTTGGCATCTAGCTAGTGAATGGTGATGTATTATTTGATTAAAACATATAGAATCAATATATGAATTCTTGGAATTAAAATGAAAAAAATGGATATTTAAAATTAAGACATTTATTATGTGTTTGTTTTCTTTGTCCTAAAATTAAATACCAGAAAGGATCATGTATTTCATAAGATTCATTAAATCAATGACTGTCAAGGATAATTTATATAATATATACATAAATATACCAAAAACTATTTACATTTCTCACATCTCGTTATTTTTCTTTTGTATCCATTAGTATGGGTATCCATCAAGAAATTTGTCCCCATGGATTGAACTATAAATGTGTGAACATATTATAAAGTTTTATAATTTTATAAAATCCTATACAAAGTACTTATTAGGATAACATAGAATCTATAATTTAATAATCATTTTATTTTCCCATCCTAAAGATAGTAGTAATGTAATGCAATCATTTAGGTACTATAAGCATTATTTTAACAAATGAGGTACAATTATCATATAAAAATAAAATATAAAAAACAATAATCATCACAATTCTTTTTTCCTTCTACAGTTTTAATTACTCTTATATTATTCTTTTTTTTTTTAATTTCGGGACTTGAATCTTTTGGAGTTTGATTTTTATATTGTAATTAATGATTTATATATGTAATTCAAAAATACTTCATCCTTCAGGAAAAAAAATGGAGGTAGGGGCCAGCTGGCGTCCGAGTCAGCAAAGAGGGAGGGTTTTAGGACCAAGGGATGTAGTGGCTAAGGATGGAGGTGACGTAAGAAAGACAAAAGGCCAGGCCAGAAAAAGCAAAAAGGCCTTAAGACGTGGGGCCCTTTATGACAAAAAAGAGAAACCTAAAAGGCTAGCCAAACTGAGAGAGGGAGTGGGGGAAAAATATGAAAGCGAGTCGCTTTTTACGCCGCCTTCAATGTCTTTTGCCAGTTTGCTTCTTGCCTTTTTGGGACCCCCATTTTGTTTTAGCAAATCCTATTTCTAAAACCATTTAATTAATTAATTCTTTTTTTTATTTATTTTAGCAAGTTGTGAGGAAATACATTGGATTTTTCTAATGAATTTTATCAAAAAAACAAAAAAAAACAAACAACAAAGTGTCATCTTTATTAAAGAAAAAGATTGATACAACAGCTGGCTAAAAATTGTAAGCAATTAGCTATTAAATTTTGTGGGGGAACATTGGATTTGGATTGTTTTTTCTTCTTTTGTTTGGAGTACATGTTTGGCAAATTGGGTGTCCCAAATGGGGTTCAAATTCTTTTGTTGCAATATGCAATGCTTCAAGTTCAATATTGGACAAAAAGAGGATAATATTCCATGCCACTTGAATGACATTCTAATGTTTAGACAATTTGTACTTTTCTTTAGAAATTTGTTTGATCAACTTGATAAGTTGGTAGACTTGAAAATTATTCGATCATGAATCAAATTAAAAATTAAATTAGAGTTTACGTTTTTTACAATCTTTGTTGATAATTAGAGCTGGACATTGATCGAACAATTTCAATCGATATGAATAGTATAATATAATTCTTGAAAGATTGTTAGAAAAGAAACAACAACATGAAAGTCAAAGTTTAAATTGAGAGGAGTTCAAGTGGAGATGTAATTTTTCAAATAAATAATCAAATCTTATATTGAGTAGAGATGTGAGATGTATATGTTGTCCAAGTGTATTCTTTCTAAGAACCTAGAGGTCCTTTTCCATATTTTTTTAATTAATTTTTTATTATGTCTCAATCCTCAAATTTTGAAAAAAGAATGTATAAATTATGGAATCAAATGGCATATTGAATGTGTTTATAATTTTTTTTTTTGTAAAATATACCCTAAGATACACATTTGGTGTCGTGAACTTTTCATTTTAATGAGAATTATATTTAATTATTTAGTTTCAAACAGTTTCATTCAATGACTCCATGATTTATAGTTTGATAAGCTAGAAAACAATGCTTTTGTTTCATTATTTGAACTCAATCAACTCATGACTAAAACAATGAAAGAGAGTTACCACCTTTTATAGTATGATGAAATATTTAATAAATGCAAAATTGTATATTTCATTATAATAGAAGAATAAAAGAAAGGAATTCAAACTACCGATGCATAAAATGTTAATTTATAACATTTGAATAGTTGACTTAACAACTAATGCTATATCTTTTACTCAAGTAATAGAATTTTTTTTTAAAAAAAGTTTTAAAATAAAAATTAAAAAAATGATAGCTTGTATAACAAAATGAAGTTTGATAGCAATGGGAAAGTGGAAGATACCATGGGCATTGGGTTCAAAATAGTACCAAAATTTAGAGCTTAAATTAGGAAAAAAGGAAGATTGGATAAAGTCCCACATTGGTTTTACAATGGGGCCAGTATGTGTGGCCAGGGCTTTGGGGCAACCAAGATAAAGATCTCAATGCCATGGTGAGAAATGTCAGAACAATCTCATCCTCATTTCGGCCTTTGTGATGCCTACTTTTGGCAAGAAGTGGGCCCCTCACAAAGTTTTTATTGACACCCAAAAGCTAGCCTTTTGTGCCCCAAAAGAAAAAGGGTTTTGTTGGCCCCACAAAAAAGACCTTTCTACCTTTAACTTTGGACTTTTTTTTTGGGGGGGGGTGGTGGTTTTGTGTTTGTTACTTTACTTCAAGGAGTAGCAAAGCCCAAGCTAGAATCTGGTGTGGGCAATCAATTGTTTCTGCATACCAACCGCCTTTAATGTGGCTTGATTCAACAGGTCCCTGCTCTTACAGTTTTTGCTTTGACTCCATTTCTTGCTCAAGAGGCAGCTTTTTGTTCCCCTGTTAAGTGGCCTGGGAGTTGGGGGTGAAGGAACATTTTCAAAAGCAACAGAATCTAAAGTCCCAAACTTAACAGGAGAAGCTGCCACTTTCTTCACCCTTTTGTGACCATTAAAGAAACATAAAGTGATGGTCTAATTGTTAATGCAGTCATTTTGGCCCCTGATGTGTAAAAGTGCAAAGGAATAAATTAGCCTCGACTGCTTGGTCAGATCTCTAAGTGCCTGTCAAACCTCCCCTCCCCTCACTCATAAGGTTTTTCTTTGTACATGGCAGGATTTAGTGCAATATTTAGATCAAGACCAACAAAAGATTATCCTTAAGACTTGAACTAAATCAATTTTTTTTTTCAAAATATGAGTTATCAATTCACCCATTCTTTTGACAGAAAATGTTACTCATTACTTTGTATGATAATGCTTATGAATCAAGAAACCTGGTAATTTCTTGAGCCACTTGGGTCTCAAGCCCTGAAACTAGAGGCTTATGTCGAAATTTAGAAAGTCCCAACACCCAAAGAAGATAAAGCAGCACGGCACAGGCCTTCAAACTCAAATGTTTGTTGGATTCATAATTCAAGTGTGACTTAAAAAAGATTGGGCTGGATTGAGTTATCTGCGATCCAGCACAAGCCCATTAGCACCAGCCATTTTAAGACTTATTGGGCTTGGATTTTTGTTGGGTTAACATGTGTTGAATTATAACCAAGTTTCCTTTTTTCTTCTTCTTCTCTCTTTATCCGTCATCCACCCTTCACCCCTTTTTGTCTCTAAGCAGCAAACCTTAGCTCCACTGGCTGCTGACTGACACAGCCAGCAGGTGTTTCATTGCAGAGACTGTATATATTTGGTCCAATATCATAACTGATACGAGATTAGTAATTCAAGGTGAGGTAGCTTCTCGAAGAGAGTTATTGTTGCTCAAATTTGTTAGTTTTGTTTGTTAAATTTCATCTTCCAATTAAAGAAGCCCGTCTTTCTGTTTTTTAAATTTATGAAATGGTTATTGAAAAAAATATTTAATAATGTAAAATACGAATCTCTTGCCTTCACCTACCCCCAAAATCTTGTAAATCTCGAACAACCCACTAATATAAGTTCCTACCCTATCTTTCTTGTTACAATTTTCAACCATAGTAATAGCCGGCATTGCCATCACAATCAGCACCAATATCATATCCAAAGTCCAACTCAGGCTTTACCGTTACCCTCCATCACCATCATTACTTCTTTGCCTACCATTCTTTCTCATTCATTCACCATTTCACTTTTTGTCAAATGCCATTAAATTTTCACTAGGAAAACCATCCTCCTACCTCTTTTTCTAGTTAAATCCAGTATTCCTCTCCTATTAAAAATTTATTTATTCTTATATTTAAATATTTGATTGATGATAAGTAAATGTTTGATTCTTCGATTCCAAATTAAGGGGAAGAAGAGACTTTTAATCCCTTTTGCTTAAAACTTTGTATCTTATCTAACCAAAATTTCAATTGTTTATTTCCAACAAGCTATGAATTTCGGCCCAAATAATTTCACTTGGAAGGTTTGAATTGATTCAAATCTTTGCAACCCTGTATTTCTAACAAGTTAGTACACATTCTAAGTCTCTACTTCTATTCAAGTAATTTGGAAGTGATTGTAAATTGTGCTGTTAATTTCCATTTTCTCTAATCATTATTCATGAATCAACATATAAATAATTTTGTGTGTATTCTTTTTTTTCTAAATAAATAAAAAAAAATCTTAGGACGAATAGGTTTTTTCCCATGTGAATAATGAATAAAAATATATTAAAAATTATCGAACAAAAAAATACATAAAGAGATACTCAATCCGAAAAAGGGTGGATATAACTTGACAATTTATTACAAGGGGTGAATTTATGAATTGAACCCATGGTAATTTCTTGGAATACTCTTTTTGTACTAAAAAAAGATTAATGCTGTCGCTTAATGTGGAGAGATTACTTT